TCATGTGAACCTTTATTTATTAAATTGAATTATTTTGATCTTACAAAGCCACCTTGCTATTCAAAAGAAACGTGACGACACTTGTACCACGTGCGGGGCGTGCAGCATCGTCGTGTGGACCTTTATTTATTAAATTGAATCATTTTGATCTTACAACGCCAATTCAGTTCTGTTAACAGTCCATCATGTCCACCGGTTAACCCAACCAGCACCATGTTTCTCCACGTCATCCTTTTCGCCGCTCTCTATGTAATTACCACCCATTTTCTCCACAAAATCCGGAAGCTACCGCCGATCCCATTTCCAACTCTGCCCATAATCGGCCATCTCCACCTCCTCAAGAAACCCCTCTACCGTTCCCTCTCGAAAATCGCAAACCAGCACGGCCCACTTATTCTCCTGCACTTCGGCTCTCGCCGTGTCCTAGTCGTCTCATCTCCGGAGGCCGCTGAAGAATGCTTCACCAAAAACGACGTCGTCTTCGCAAACCGCCCCCATCTTCTCGCCGGTAAGCATCTGGGTTACAATTACACTAGCCTTGCCTGGGCCTCGTACGGTGACCACTGGCGAAATCTGAGGCGAATCTCTTCAATCGAGATTCTCTCCACGAATCGTCTCCAATTGCTTTCCGGCATACGCAGCGATGAGATCCGATTGCTGGTTCAGAAGCTCTTCAAGAATCAAAATCAAACGGTGGATGTGAAATCTGCTTTTTTCGAGCTAACGTTGAACGTGATGATGAGGATGATGGCGGGGAAGAGGTACTACGGTGACAGCGTCGCCGAGGTAGAAGAGGCGAAGAGGTTTCGAGATTTAATAACGAAAACGTTTCTATACGGCGGCGCAACTAATATGGGAGATTTTTTACCAGTATTGAGGTGGGTAAGTAATAGTGAAAAAAGATTGGTAAACCTGCAGGAAGAGAGGGACCAATTCATGCAGGAACTGGTAGATGAATGTAGAAGGAGACTGGAAAATGAAAATAAAAACAATTCTTTACCCGGAGCGAAGAATAAGACCATGATCGAAGTGTTGTTATCTCTGCAAAAGTCAGAACCCCACAACTATAGAGACGAAAATATTAGAAGTGCAATGCTGGTATGTATTCTCCTCTTGACAAATTATATGGTAGTATCTAAAGTTTTTATTGTATAAAACCTGAATTATATTAAGAAAAATGATGGGTACAAAAAATAAATACCCATCACCCAGTTGAATTTTTTTTTATGTGGGGTGCATACCTGGATATGAGATTCGGGTGTGCACCAATCAATCATGGTCTTTATATTAAATTACACATAAAAGATATATTCCTTAATATTAAGATTATTTTTGTTTAACTATTTATATCTTATAATATATTTGCATTACAAAATAAAAGACTTGATTTTTATCTAGTGACAACCAATATATACTGCTGTATATCTAAAATTTTTATTTGCAAATACAGGTTTTGCTAGCAGCAGGCACTGACACATCGGCAGGTACAATGGAGTGGGCAATGTCACTTCTTTTGAACAATCCGGAGGCACTGAAGAAGGCTCAAGTGGAAATGGATAACGTGGTGGGGAGCAGTCGATTGGTGGAAGAGTCAGATTTGGGTAAGCTTTCTTATCTTCATTGCATCATAAATGAGACCATGAGGATGTACCCAGCGGGTCCATTGCTACTACCACATGAATCATCACAGGAATGCTTTGTTGGGGGTTACCGAATTCCACGTGGCACAATGTTGTTGGTGAACCAGTGGGCCATACACAACGATCCCAAGATATGGGGGGAGCCTGAAAAATTTAGGCCGGAGAGGTTCCAAGGTTTGGAAGGAAACAGAGATGGGTTCAAGTTGATGCCATTTGGGTCGGGGCGGAGGAGCTGTCCAGGAGAGGGATTGGCTACGCGGATGGTTGGATTGACGCTGGCTTCAGTTATTCAAGCCTTTGAGTGGGAAAGGATTGGTGAGGAAATGGTGGACATGACTGAAGGGACTGGGCTTACCATGCCCAAGGCCCAGGCTTTGCAGGCCCGGTGTCGTCCACGTCAAGCCATGGTGGACTTGCTTTCCAAAATTTAACGAAGCCAATTGTTCTTGTGTTTCTTTACCCTTTTTCTCTTCAACAAACGTTTACTTCTCCTCCTCTTTCCTTCTTTCTTTCCCCCCTAAAACGAAAAAAAAAAAGAAAAAGAAAAAAATCTTTCTTTCCCCCCTTCTTTCCTCCCCCTCCTCCTTTCTTTTTCCGCTGTCTTCGTTTTCCTTTGCAGCCATCTATCTTTGCCTCTTTCCCGCTTCTGTGACATGTGATGTTGAGAATGATGTACTCCTATTTTTATATTTTCATTTATGCTTAAAATTAATGAAAAAATTATTGTGCTGCATCAAATTATACAATAAAAACTTTTAAATAAAAAAGTAAGTCTCTTAATATTAAGGCTTTTTCTTTTATTTAAAATTTTTTATTTTACAAATCTAATTACAAAATAGCAAACTCTAAAAGTTAAAAAGAATAGTAAAGTATGAAATATACAAATTAAATATTAAATGAAGAGTGAATTTCTTAGTATTGAAGGTTGTCTCTCATCTTATAATGCTTGTTTTATAATTTGATATAACTTAAATTACAAAACAAGATTATGTTGTGCTTAAGTGTGTTGTATTTATATTATGGTTCTACATCTTTATTGTTATGATAGACTTTTCTTCATTGGTGTAGATGCCATATAACCAATTGTTGATAAATAACAATTAACTTTGAGTTAGTTTTTTTTTTTTTTTTTT